GAGATCTTTAGTTCTACCTTTGAAGCATGGAGGAGGAGCTGTGGGGGTGCTTTGCTGGTGACGCTGTTGAGGATTTATTTATTTATAAAATTGAAGGCACACTGAACCAGCACGGCTACCAAAACATTCAACAGCGACATGACAATGTTTGGTATTTAAGAAGAACATGGTAGTGTATAACAGCTTTCCACAAGGTTTAGAAATGTGTTTATGGGGATTTTTGACCATTCTTCCAGAAGTGGATTTGCCAGGCTGGACAAGGATGCCTGGCTCGCAGTCTCCCAAAGGTGTTCTGTTGGGTTGAGGTCAGGACTCGGGCCAGTCAAGTTCTTCCACACCAACCTCGCTCATGTCTTCATGGACCTTGCTTTGTCCACTGGTGCGCAGCCGTGTTGGAACAGGAAGGGGCCATCCCCAAACTGTTCCCACATAGTCATCAGGAAATGTCTGGTTATGCTGAAGCATTAAAAGTTGCTTTCACTGGGACTACTGGGCTGAGCCCCACTCCAAAAAAACAACCGTTTACTGTCGGAAAAAACTGAAGAAACAGGCAAAAATGTAAAATGAGCAGCGTCTGGCTGCACTTCTGGCTCTTACATAGTTTTTTTCAACAACTGACACGATATCCCACCAAATAAGTGAACATTCAGGTACACGAACATTTGCTGTACCCCTTCAGCCGATGTTGTCCAACTTTGGGGTAACTTTACACCATCCTTTGCTCTCTCCAGCTATCCTGGGAAATTTAATTGTGTAACTGGCATAATTACAAGCTTAACAAGATCACTATTACACACTAATATCTTTAAAACACATGGTTTCACACGCCTCTAATTTGCTCACTTTCTATTGCAGAAGCAGCCCAGGAGAAGCAACTCTGCAATTCTTCCACTCCTGGCATTGTGAGCCAGAATCGTTCTCCTACGCTCCATTTTCCTGAAACATTACCCACACCACTACTTCTAATTATTAATGGCATCAAAGATTCCTCATCCAAAACCAACTCAAAGCTGTTGACACATCAAATATTATACATCTGAAAGTGATCGTGTGCTCATTAGAAATGGTGTTACAGCTGTAGTCTTTGTGAGTTTTTAATCACAAAATGATATCAAGATGGTGTGCAGGGGGAATCTTTGGAGGTGGACTGGAGGATGCCTAACCAATAAGAAGTTAGAAACGATGCTGCTTTCTGTTAATGCCAGACTACAACTTATACAGTTCAAGGTCCTTCATCGTTTGCATTTTTCTAAAACAAAGCTATGCAGCATTTTTCCGTCTATTT